ATTTTCCCCCCCCCCCCCCCCCCCCCCAGTGCACGGTCCAAGTCAAGTTGGAGCTGGGTCACCGTGCCCAGCTGCGGAAGAAGGCCACGTCGGAGGGCTTCACCCATGACTGGATGGTGTTTGTTCGAGGCCCAGAGACGGGCGACATCCAGCACTTTGTGGACAAGGTCATCTTTAGGCTGCATGACAGCTTCCCCAAGCCCAAGAGGGGTAAGTTACTGCCCCCCACCCCCAATCTTGCCTTCCTGCTCACACAAGTGGTCTGTAGGTTTGAACCTTGGATAATATAGAAAATGTTTGCCAATCTAACTCTGTCTCCCACCTAGTTTCCATTTGTGTCCCTAATATTTCTCAGTCGGTACTGAAGATAAACTCGGCAAGTCTGACGTGGGGCCAGTCAGCCATTGGTCCCTTTTCAGAAACCCCTCTCCGCTTGCGCTGACCATCCCGACGTGCTACTCTGCTGACGGCAGCTCTTGTCTATCTTCTGTGTGCCCTCAGTCTGTAAGGAGCCGCCTTACAAAGTGGAGGAGTCGGGGTACGCTGGTTTCCTCATGCCCATCGAGGTCTACTTCAAAAACCGGGTGAGTGTGACAGTCGTTGATCCCCCTGCAGGACCCCCGACACCTGACTGAAACCTCAGTCAAAACCTCCGACACCTGAATGTAACCCTAGATAAGACCCCCGACACCTGACTGGAGCCTCAGACAAGATAAAATTTAGTTGATTAGAACTCTTGATGGGTTGGATCTGATGACTGCTTTGTAAATCCTTCCTGAAAAGCTGGTGTTGAAGGACATTTAATGGCATAATGGATCGCAGGGGGAAATTCATCCTTTTCTGTTCCCCTCGGACCCCTAGATGTGGGGGGAGGAGTCCCCCCCCTTGCAGAACCATGAGACCCTAAAGTTTCTCTCTTGTTGTAACGGGCTTGAGAATTGGCCCCCCAAATAGTGAAAGCTATTTGAAACTGAAACTTTTTCCTCGAGTCTGTCATCTTTCAGTCTCACTTTGAATTTACATTTTGGCCCGAGGGGAGGAAGCTGGCTTGTACCGCAGGGGCACTGCCGGGGAGATGAAAAGTTGTTAAATTGTAATCGAGTCTCTCTGCCGGCGACTGCACTCTGACGTTCTCAGCCCTGTGGGTGTGTGCGTGCATGTCTGACCTCCTTGTCACAGTTCCTCTGCTATTTTTTATTTTTTTTAAATGTTGTTCCTTTTGACTGTTCAAATACCAACGGCATCAAAACATGAGTGTATTGGCATAGTGTATTGAAGGCATTTCAGTTGACGTTCGTACCTGGGATTTGAATTGGCCACCATCGAGTTATAAGTCTCTGCCCTTAACCACTATGCCCCCTGCAGGGCAGTGTCATATGAGTGCATACAGATGACTGAAAGGTGACCTTTGTCCATCGATGCAGGAGGAGCCCAAGCGGGTGTGTTTCAACTATGACCTGTTCCTCAACCTGGAGGGTAACCCCCCCGTCAACCACCTGCGCTGCGAGAAGCTCACCTTCAACAACCCTACCCGCGAGTTCCGGCGCAAGCTGGTCAAGGCTGGGGGCGTGAGTTGGCCCTTTTTGGGGGGGGGGACGGGCACAGAAAACGACAGCCTGTGGTCTTCATGAGTTTGACCTTCTGCAGAACATCATGTTTACCTGCATGCATTTCTGTTCCTACATTTCCCAGGTGATAGTGGTTCCAGAGGGGGCGGAGTCAGTGTCCCGGCCCAGCCCCGACTACCCCATGTTACCCACAATCCCCCTCTCGGCCTTCTCCGACCCCAAAAAATCTAAGCCCTCCCATGGGTCAAAGGTCAGTTATATTTTTGAAGCACAAGAGACATGCCCGTGTATCACTACTATGATGTCCTGTTATCTCCTGAAGGCGAGGGATTGATGCCGGTCAATGCCAGGTCTCTGTTCTCAGATCAGAGACGGGATAAACTTGGCTGTTCTGTGTGCTGATTAGATAGATCTCACCACATATAACGTTTGCAAAAGTGGAATAAGTTAATATATAGCTCTTGGACAAAAAATACAAGATACGGAAGCACAAACGCAAAAAGGCGTCATATGCCTGTAAGTAAATTTACACTTTATCTTTTCACGTGTTTATTCTTCTTGTAAGGTTCCTTGGATGGTTACAGGGGGTACACCCAGCTTGCGTAAAACCTGCATTATGTAAGGTTTTGTGCAACAGGATTACAGAACTGCCTGTACTGTTACCTGGATCATTGTGTTCTTTTGGAAAAATGTGCCCTTCTACCCAAAGAGTGTTTAGTTCTGTGCTGTGGGGCCCCGCGAACGTTGTGGCCCCATGAATCTCGGTAGCGCTTCCCAGAAGGGAGAGTGCGTGTTAATCACAGGTGGGCTGTGTCCTCGTCCTCCAGGAGCCCAGCAAGGAGGCCGGCGGGGGGAGCAGTAAAGGCCCCAAGCTTTACAAACCTGCCAAGGAGCAGCGGGAGAGAGCCAGCAAGGCGTCATCGAAGGGGGAGGGCGAGCGGGAGCGGGAGCGGGAGCGCGATGGCGGCAGCGGGAAACCCACCCGCGACCCGTCTTACTCTTCATCCTCATCCTCTTCGAAGAAGCCCTCAGATGTCAAGGTGAAGGACGACGGCAAAGTGGCCCCCAAGGCGGCCTTCAAGGAGCCCAAGCTGACGCTGAAGGAGGCCAAGATGGAGAGCGTGTCCCCAAAGGCCGGGGGCCCCCCAGAGCCCAAGCCGCCAGGCAAGCGCCCCCCCGCCGTGGAGTCGCCCAAGCCCAGCGTGAAGAAGCAGAAGAAGAGCAGCTCCGAGGGGCCCAAGACGGCTCCCAGCTCCTCCCCTCGCATCTCCACCGCCACCTCCTCCTCGTCCTCCTTGTCGTCCTCCACCCCAGCTGCCGCCACAGCGCCCTCCTCCTACCCAGACAAGAAAACGTCCAAGGAGAAGAGTCGCTGGGTCAAGGTAAAGACGGAGACGCCCAGCCTGAAGGAGTCCAAGAAGTCTCCGGATTCGGACGAGTCCAACTCCGAGGATGAGGCCTCCTCCAAGTCAGAGGTGAGGCTTGGCGAGGCGCGGGGTGGGGGGGCACTCTCCCTTCTCCTTTCTCTCCTGTCAGTCATCTTTCCGGTGCCAGTGAGGAGCGGCCTGAGCTGGTAAGGGAACAAACTGTCTAGCGATGCATAATAAATCAAGACGGAGAGTGCGTGAAGGATGCTGGGATACGTGACGGCTTCGGCGTCAGTGTGGGCTGATCGGTTGACCTCCCCTTGACTCCGGCGCCCATAGTGGTGCCTAGTTTTTATATAAATAACACGCCTGTAATACGACCTGTGTTGTTAAGTCGTGTTTGCCAGTGGCCAGATGAGGGAAGGAGAAGCTGCTGTTGTTGGGGCGGAGCCGTGACGCCCGGCTGACCTTAATCTTTCTCCTCCCCATCTCTGCTCAGCAGTCCCCCCCCTCCAGCCCCTCCAGCTCCAGTTCCAGCTCCAGCTCCAGCTCCGACTCGGACTTCGAGCCGTCGCAGAAGCAGGGCCAAGGTGCAGCCGCCGGTGACGCAGAAAGGGAGGGAGGCTCGCATGTCTGTGTGGGCGGGGCCAATCAGCCATGATGTCCACTGTGATTGGCCACCTGTGATGAGTGATGTGTGTGGGGGGGAGACATCTCTTATAAGGAAGTATAACAGAATTAGACAGGTAGAACAGGTTGCCCTGGCGTCATTCCAGACAGGCACAAGTCTGCGTGCGTTTGCAATCAATGTCTTAATGAAGCGGGGGTGCGTGCCCCACCCCGGCTCTTCCAGGTCCCCTGCGGTCCATGGTGGAGGACCTGCGGTCAGAGGAGTCGGACGAGGAAGACACCAGCTCTGAGGAGGAGATGCCAGTGAAGACCAACCCACCGAACCGCGACTCTCGGTTAGAGCCAGTCAGCGACGGGCCCCGCCCAAGCTCACGGTCACGTGCGGTTTGCGGGGGCCGGCGATTAAATTTCACTGCTATGTATTTAAGATGTGCTGTCACCAAGCCAAACCAAATCCCAGAATCGGGCAAAAAAAAATGAGATCACTGCAAGTTTTGGCGCTTTCAGAATGTGGAGAATTGGTTTAAAGTTCCTGTTTTTCTACGAGTTTCTGTCATTTGATTGGTCCCGGCGAGGATGGGGAGACGAGCCCAAGCTCAGCGCGCCCAGTCTTCAGGAGCTGGTTTGTTGTGGCTCAGTGTGGAGGATGAATCATCTGTTTCCCCCCCCAGACTGAGCCTGGAGAGCGAGAGTGACAGCAGTGATGAATCGCATCCCCCAAGCCGCGGGCCCCCACCTCCCCCGCCCCCGAAACACGGCTCCTCCAACAACAAGGTGAGCGGCTGTCAGTGAGCCTGCAGGAGACCCAAGCTCCCAGACGGGCCCCTTCTCTTGTACCCTTGAATAACCGTGAGCCTCCCTCTCTATTTGGAGGTAACTGGGAGGAAGAGTCCAGACACCTGCAGCAGACCAGAGAAGATGCTGAAGAAGGAATACGACAAGGTAGGAAGGGTAAATCATCCTATTACTTCCTTTTTTTCTGAAATAAACATCTATTTGCTGTACTTCCAGGTGTCGGGTGTCTTTGCTTAAGGGTAAACCTGACAGCAGCCTAAGTTTCCCTGATCTGCGATTTGAACGTTGCTGTCTGGTCATTTTGGCCCGGCCGCTGCACCAGGATGTCAGCTGGCTCAGTGATTTTGCCTTGATCCCTTTCACTGAGCCGCTATAGTGTGTAACTCCGCCCCGTCTCACATGTGGCCTGCCCCTGTCAGTTGACCCCGCCCCCTTGATGTTTGGTTTGGTGACTCCGCCCTGTCCTTGGGGCCCGGCCCATATGGACTTGTTTTCCCTCCAGGCTTACACCGAGGAGTTGGTGGACCTCCATCGCAGACTGATGGCGTTGCGCGAGAGGAGTGTCCTACAGCAGGTGAGATGTGGGGGGGTTTGTGTATTTATTGTGTGCCCATGTTATGATATTAATTTTCTCAGAGCAGTATTTAAAAGAGTATTTACAATAAACCCTAACCGTCCCCGTTCCCCCCCCCCCCCAGATCGTCAATCTCATTGAAGAGACGGGACACTTCAACGTCACCAATACCACCTTTGACTTTGACCTGTTCTCATTGGACGAATCGACTGTCCGTAAACTTCAGAGTTACCTGGAGGCCACTGCCACGTGACAGGAAGTTCCTCCCCAGGGATGGCGCCTCCTCCTCCATCTCTGATCTGGAACTCGACGTAGCACTGTTAAAAGTGGGGGAGCGAGACAGATGGAGGGAGGAACACAGAAGACAGGAAGGACAGAATGAAGAGAGAAATTCCATACTAAGCTGTAATGATAAGGCCAGCCTCTGATGGCCAGTTTGGGAGGGGGCTTGCTGTTTTTAGCTTGACCAGCAGGGGGCGTATCATGTGCATACCGCTAAATGAGGCTGTGCGTGTGGTACACAAGGGACCTGGTTGCCCGTCCCTTATGTTGCTCTTCCTTCTTAGGTCTCACAGCACCTCCTGCTGACCTTCCGGGTTAGTCTGCAATGACTGTGAGAGTGTGTGTGCGTGTGTGTGTGCGTGTGCGTGTGTGTGTGTTACCGAGGGTCAGTGACTAGATCTGAAGTGACGATCTGGTGCCAGGTGGACCTGCGACTGCCTCTTTGGCATCTATCGCTGTCCACTCTGCTCCACCTGGTGGACAAGATGAAAACATCTTCTCTCGGTGGATGCTGTCTGTCCTGATCACTCTGTGAGGAGGGTGGGGGGGGGGTGGTGAGGTAGCCCATATTCCCGCCCCCACCCTGGAGTTGAGGAAGCCATAAGATGCAGTTGCGGTCGCTGAATCACGACTGTGCGCACTGTGCCCCGCCCCCCGTAATCTGATTCTGATCACAAACTGAGGTTGATCTCGAGCCGCGGCTGCATTTCTATGTTTTGTACGGTTTTTATTGCTCTGCCACGGCGCCTCGCCCACCTCTCAGTGCCTTCTCGGCCTCTCTGCCCCCCGTTCTCCAACTGGCTGATAATCAGTCTTCTGTTGCCTGGTACTCAGTAGTATCTTCCCTCTTTAATCATCGCAGCGCTTGTGAAATGTTACGGAGTATCGGGGCCGTCTATTGCTCTGCCTGTCTGGCTACAGTCATGATGGTTGTTGGGTCAGGACCAGGGGGGGTCCTGTGTGTGGGATTGTTTAGACCCACTTCTGACCTTGCCCTGCCCCTTCCTAGCAGTCCGTTTTGGCCTCTATGCTTGTAGCTTTAAAGATGATCCCTTTGGTCTGTCAGCCAATGGGGAGGCCCGTCTCTGTGCTGTTCCGCTGCAGCTTTCAGCATTCAGGCCGCACGTCGTGAATGGATACAGCCGCCCAGAGTGGAACCCATCACGGTGCCCGAACTCACCCCTGTGTGCATTAGTCTGTATACAAGAACGTCATAACTTAACTGTGTGTGTGTGTGTGTGTGTGTGCACGAAAGTCTGTGGGTTCGAGAGTTGCCATAAAGGATTGTGAAAGCAGACGCTTTCGTGTCCACGCTAGCATGTGTACCCTCTGGGGTCCGAGGTCATGGACTATGACCTTTGACCTGATCCCTTGTATTATGACCTGGAGTTTGGGCAGGAGAGGCAGCCCTACCGGACAGAGGCCCTCGGCTCTGTCATCTTATTTATATACCTCTGCACTTTGGGCTGTTTGGTGACTCTATCTGTACTTTATCTGTAATTGTAATTAATATGAGCTATTTTTAAGAATTTTATACAATATTTACATGCAGAATAGTATTACTTTTTGCCAATCTTTAATTTTTTATTTAATTGTGTATTTTTATCTTCATCATACACGGAAAAGCAGCACTGAGGTGTGACGTGGCGTTCAAGGCCTGCTCTCCTGTTGCTCACATTACGCTTAATTCTCGTTTAACTCTCATCACACTACGGAGCAGCTAGCTTGAGTTTGTGTGCGTCCGCTTACCTGGTTACCATGGTAAAGGAACAGTTAATCAGAGCAATTAATACTGTTGTATGTGACCCCCCCCCAATCCAGTGTTGTGTGTGTTTGTCCTTTACATGTGCAAGTATGCCCCCACTTGGGCGGAGGTGGAACAGTCTGTATTCTGTGAAACACGGCTGCACAAACCTGCTGCCCTTTGGATTTTATTGTTGTTACTTTTTGTTTTAATTATTGTGCTTCTTGTGATCATTCCCAACAATCCCTGTAACACAGGAGTCTGGGATTGGGGGAATAGGGCCTTTCAGTTTGAAATATATTTTCTATTATATTTATATATATATAAGAGGAGATGAATGGAGGTGAGAGTATATACCGTGTGTATTTATGTATGATGGGGGCAGCGGTGACTCAGCTGCTCCTGGACCTCGTGGCACTGCCAGTGTTGTCCACACAAAGCCCACTGCTGTTGCCAGGAGGCTGTCTGCTGGGGGGGTGTGTGTGTGTGTGTGTGTGGTGGGGGGGGGGGCACGGGGTGTGAAATGGGAGTTCAGTTTCTATGATTTTTTTTTTTGTAAATGTGGGTGTCTTCACAGCAAGTGGAACAGCGAGTGCAGAATTCTTTTTTGCCGTTGTGACTTTTGGTATTAACTTGGCATGCGACGCCACCGTGTGGCCAAACGATGCAAGTTGTAACAAGAACCTTAATTTTATTTTAATTTTATTTTTTAATCATATTATTGTTTTTTATTATTATTATTATTAATAATAATAATAAAGTCATTGAGTACTTTCTGGAGCCTGAGCTTCTGTTCGTGTCAGTGGGGGGGGGGGGGGGGGTGAATGGAAAAGGTCGTGTGAAGGTCATGGTGCTGGGGGCTGCAGCAGGCGCTGGGGGCCCCAAACCCTTCCTGGGGAATTTTCTGGCCTAACGTAACATTTTTTCTGGCCCGCCCCCAAAATGATTGGGGTGGGGGGGGCATTGGTCCAACCTTTTGGGGAAAGTCAGACTAGATAAACAAATGACTCAAGGTGCTTTTTACATTTTTTCTGCTGATCTGATCTGAGAACAGGGTTTCTCTTCCTGGTTATTTGCATTGTGATGGATGCATTGTTTAAAAGGCCTGCTCTCGGCTGTTTCCAACTACACTCTTGATTCCCACTAATCTTCATGAAAGAAATTCTGTTATTTCTGTATATTATTTAAAGCAGATGGGGAAAGAACCTTGTTTTCTGATCCTGGAGCCCGTTTGAAGGTCGTCTTCAATGCAGCAGAACGCATCCTTCTTTGGTAAAGAACCCGGGTTTTACTCAGAAGGCCATCGCTGCATTACACTGACAATATCAAGTTAAAGATACACGTCGTAGTTCATCAATCCAGCCTGCTGACGTCTGCTGAGACACAGCTGTGCCCCTAGGTGGCGCAGTACATAGAGCCATAGGTACCTGGCCTCTGCTTCATGACGGGGAATTATGCTTGAATTACTGCACTACAATGTCCAGCTGAAAAAGCTGGGGAAAAGTGTCCAATAATCAATGAAACTGAACCGCTAAACTTTAATTAAATTGAAAACCAGTTAATGTTTAAATGTCCCAGTTAATGATCAGTTATGTTTAAAGTTTAAACGATGATGATGCCAAATTATAATGTGCATGTACTATATATTTCACAATCTTTTTAGTTTTGTGTAGTTAATCGCCGTGAGGGAAAAAAAACAGGAAACATGAGCTGAACAGTCTCTTGTCAAAATGGCTCTATGTTTATTGCATAAAAAGCAGTAGGAAATCCAAGACTGCAGGCATTTTATATTTAAAAACAAAAGTCCTTCATCTCATGAATCCTTCAAGTAATTCTTAAGTGAATGGCAGCACTTCACAGGACGTGTATGTCGATCTGTCCCACATCGGCCTCTCGTGGCCGTGAAGGTGACAGAGGCCAAGCACGGCGTTGGCAGAAGAAGTGGCAGTCAGGAGAGGAATCGAGAAAGCCCAGTCCCAGATGCGGGGTATGACTTCATGCTTTGGGTTAGGATTCGACCTCATACCCGGGGGGGGGGATGGGGGGGGTGCGTCGCCCATTACCCTTTGCTCAGCCAGAGACCCCGTCACTCTGCGTCACATTATTCCACATTTCGGATTCACCCAGGACAGCAGTGCAGGAAAAAAACCCATGCAAAATATCCCTGAGGGATTATTTTAACCTTTGCTTCATCCTGCGTTAGATAAACATTAATCACCTCGAAAACAGAAAAGAGATGTGTGAATGAGGACCCATAATGCACTGCAAGGCACGCAGAAGAGGAGTGAAACATTCCCCATCACTGTGCGGCTCCCAGCAGATGCGTAACGGACAGATTCTTCCAGGCTTCCCCGCCTTGGTTTTTGTGAGGGTACAATTTAGGGGAAGTGGGTAAATTTTCCGGAGCTACCCACCCTCACCATGAGCAGAAACCACACGTTATTGCACTACTGAGAACGATCTGTCTCCCCCTTCTCTTGTTCCCATTGTAGGTTTATCCCAAATCGAAACACTCAGTTATCTGATGACTAATTAGTACAGGAAAAAGTTTTTATATTATTTTCATGGTTTTTAAAAAGTAATATACTGTACAAAATGCCCCTTTCGAAACCACATTATATAATTACAAAAAATTCTCTTAAGAATAAATATACATATATTTTTCTCCCTCATTGGATTAAATTTTTATAACAGCAAATATACACAATCAGTTAAACTGACATCTGTAGGAGTCTCTGGTGGTTTTTCATGTGTGTGTGTGAGACTGGGTGCTGTGTTTGGACTTACAGCAGGTGGGGCATGTGACACAGTCCTCCTATTTGACGATGGGACATTTGGGGGCAGGGCATGTGGCCACACCCTTTTAGTTTGGGGCGGGGCATGTGGTCACACCCTCTTAGTTTGGGGCGGGGCATGTGGTCACACCCTCTTAGTTGGGGTGGGGCATGTGGCCACACCCTCTTATTTGGAGGTGGGGCATGTGGCCACACCCTCTTAGTTGGGGGCCAGGGGGGTTTCGGCTGTTACCACTTCATTGTAGAAGTTCTCGATCTGCTCCTTGTACATTTTCAAAACTTCTGGCCTCTTTAGCTTCATTGTAGGACCTGAGTAGGTGGAAAAGGGGACTGAGTATCATAAACCATTTTGTATACTTTTAAAGCTTGTGGGAGTTTCACTTACACAAAAATGTTCTGAGGGCAGAATTAAAAATGATTAGTTCAGAGAGATAACCAATCAGATTGTAGAAGAGGTGGGTTCAAGCAACTTGGATGCTTGAATATGAGGAGGTGGGACCAAGACATCTGATTGGATGGTCCTGCCTCCTCTAGTTGCTTGGACTCACCTCGTTTATAGTCTGATTGGTTATTGCTCTCAACCAATCATTTATCTGCAATCAGAACATTTTTAAAGGGACAGTAAGCGACAGACTTGCTGTTGAGCAGGACAGCTTGCATTGAGCTATGCCTTTAAAGGTTAAGTGTCCCCACACTGAGGCGGTCCTTACCCAGCTCTCCCCCTGGGATAGAGAAGTCATGCTCCAGGACGACCCACTTCTGAATGCGCTGTGCGTTGGAGGTGGCATGCTCGTTGGCGCTGTTGATGGCCTCCTGGATGGCAGCGTTGACGGCTCGATCCCGCCCGCCTGCGATCTCGGACACCCGCGTGGCAGGGCTGCCCAGCTTCTGGCACAGGTCCAGCGCATCTGGCGTCAGCTCGTCCTCTGGGGCACCCGTCTCCATATTCATCTGGCACTGGGGTGCAGGGCAGCAGTTCAACCACAAGGGGGAGTGCTTCTCATTCTGAACAATAACTGCCTTTACATACTCTGACGTCTCAGCTTAACATATCCCAGTTAAATTATACTCTAATGCAACAAGTACTCTATTTATTACTCAATAATAATCAAACCTAATTTGGATATTGTCAGTTGCATATATTTAAAACCATTTTAAAAATAAGTAACAGGCTACTGGATGCCCTAAAACATTTTGCATCCGCATTCAAATCACTGTAGGTCTTGTTCAAAGGATTTTCATATCCAGCGTTCATATTCTGGCTCAAATTTCCAGGGTCGTGGGTTCGACTACTGCCTCCTCCCTAACAGCCCTAACGGCTAACAGGCATCTATGAATTCCCTGTAGTGTGTTTGCACGCAGTTGCAATCCGAATTTCAGCCACTATTTGAAGATGAAAGCATGCAGACTAAGACAGCCGTACATAGAAAGTTCCGGAAGGCCTGCAGCGTGGGGCCAGGTGTGCAGAAGATCGTTACCTTGATGGTCAGCAGCATGCTGAGGAACTTGCGCTTGTCCCCGATGAGCATGGCGTTGCTGATCAGCGGCATGGCCTCCTTAACCGCGTCCTCGACGGGCACTGGGGGGATGTTCTCTCCACCCGCCGTGATGATCAGCTCTGGGTACATGGAGACACGGGGGGGGGGCATGCTTTAGCCTTCCACTAATGCGCACCAAACTGCAACTGCGTGTCATTTTTCATGCTAATATAGCGCTTGTCTTTGGGCGGTGACACAGCCACTGAGGTAGAGCACCTACTCATCACAATGTGTATTCTCACAGTCACACATATGTAATGGGGACCAAGCAAAAAGCCACTCAGGGACACTGCATCACATTCCGCTAGATGCTGCAGCAGCTCCGTCTCTGGGTTTGTCGGGACCAGAGGTTGCGAAAGTAAAAATCCAGACTAAGGTTTTGTTTCAACCAATTAGTTGAGTATAAAGAGTCACAGTTTTGCTGAAACTTTCGATCACTGGCAAGGACATGAAGTACCCTGCTACCCCCCAGTAGCTACAGTGGTGAAGGGGTAGGAGATAATTCACCAGTTAGATTTAAGGGACGATTAGGAGGCCAGATTTGATAGGGTTCAGTGGGCAATTTTAGCCAAGACACTAGAGTACCACTCTACTCTTTTGAAAGATTCCCAAGGATCTTTATGACCTCAGAGAGTCAGATCTTCTGTTTTTACATCTCATCTGAAGCACAGCACCATTTTCACAGCACAGTGTCCACATCACTGCACTGGGGCAGTGGGATCCACACAGACCACAGGATGGGCTCCCCCTGCTGGCCACAGTGTCCCCATCACTGCACTGGGGCAGTGGGATCCACACAGACCACAGGATGGGCTCCCCCTGCTGGCCACAGTGTCCCCATCACTGCACTGGGGCAGTGGGATCCACACAGACCACAGGATGGGCTCCCCCTGCTGGCCACAGTGTCCCCATCACTGCACTGGGGCAGTGGGATCCACACAGACCACAGGATGGGCTCCCCCTGCTGGCCACACCAACACCTCTTCCAGCAGCAACCCTGCTTTCGTAGTTGGTCTCCCATCCAAGCACTGGCCAGACCCAAGCCTATTTCAGATGATCCCACCAGGTTGCCTTGCCTGAACTGCAGGTGGTATGGATGCCCTTGACATACATATTGCACTATGTATATAAACCCTTGTGTCCAGCCCCCCCCTTCACACTGTAATATGTTTTTGCACTTTAGGTATTTTGAGCACGTCTCCCTGTCACATGCTGTCTGGAGGCTGCACCGTGCACAGTGGGCCACTGTATACCTGTACATGGAGAGTATGACTTGGCTTGACTCGACTCTATGGGGACCTTGGGAGGAGCTCCGCGTGTTTTGGGGGATGGAGGGTGGGGGTGCAGCCTACCCTTGATGCGGCCGGTGATGTAGAGGAAGCCCTCGGCGTCATGCTTGCCCAGGTCCCCAGAGCGCAGCCAGCCCTCCGCGTCCAGCGCCTCCCCCATCTTCTCGGGCATGTTGAGGTAGCCCATGAAGATGTGGCGGCCCCAGAAGCAGATCTCGCCGCTCCCCTCGCTGTCCGGGGTCATGATCTTCGTCTCGCAGCCCTTGATCACCTTCCCGCAGCTATTGGGGCAGGGGGGGAGTGAGCAGGAGTGCTGAGTGAATCAAGGCTTCAAAGGTCATGGAGGGTGGGACTGGCGCATATCGTCAGTGTCTGATTGGTTTCACCCAAATGAAAGCAACAAAGCAACCAATGGTAAAAGGCAAAGCCAGATGACTGACCACTCCCACTGTGATATTAGAGGCTGTTTTTTTAATCACAATACAATTCAATAGAACTGTAAACGTTTCCAAAATGCTCTACTGATGTGTGCCTGTGTTCGTCTTGGGTCTTTCATTGTCGGTGGTAGAGCCAACAAAGACACTCGTTTAATGAAGACCCAGTAATTAACAATGAGAATCCACAGGGGCCGGTTTTTTTGGTCGCTTTTCCATCGCACAAAGTACGGTTCCTGGTGCGGTGGAAAAGCGCCCTTTGTTTCTGGGACTCCACTGAAAAAGTCACTTTGTGGCCAACAGGGGGCTCCCAAACCCCAGCGGTCGGACTGGTGGTGAAAAGTGCTGCTGAGTATCCATCTGCCATTGAGTAGAGAAATTAGCGCCTCACCTGGTGAGTCGGAAGGCGTCGGGCAGGGAGATGGTGTGGGGGCCCGAGCACTCGCTCATGCCGTACAGCTCGTACACGGGGATGTCCAGGCTGAGGAAGAACTCCAGCGTGTCCCTGGCGATGGGGGCCGCACCTGTATAGCACCGGGTGCAGCGGTCCAAACCCAGGGCCTTGCGGACCTTCCGGAAGACCAGCTGCCGGGCGAGCAGGTAGTTCAGGGGCCTCCCGGAGACGGAGCCGTTGCTGAGAGGAGGGAATGGGGGGGCGGGCAGAGTCATTAACAAAGGTTCATTAAAGAGAAAGAAAATACATGCAAACAGTACCGTCATAGGAAGAACAAACAGCGACATATCACTGTTTACTGATAAGGCTCTCGTTGTCTGATTTTGTGAGGCAGCCTGTTAATGTTTTATCAGGTTAAATGAGACTAAAATGAGCTTTGGTGATATTTATCGTGGGGGGGGGGGGCGTGGACTTACCTCTGCATCCTGCCCAGGTTGGTCTGCAGACCCACCCCCTTGGCCCAGACGGCGACTCTGCGCCGCACGGTGGACGACTTGGCGGCAACCGATTTCATGTTCTCCTGCATCTTCTCCCAGACACGTGGCACACCCATGAAGGCCGTGGGCCGAACCTCCCGCAGCGTGACCACCAGCGAGCCCTGGGGGCAGGGGTGGGGGGGGATTAAGGTCAAAATGGCTCAGTGCCATGGCATGAATGTAGCAGGTATCTTGTTGCTCCCCACCGCTAGCCACACGACAGAAGCTTCTAGAAAATACGCCGGCAGTCTGCTGGGAGACTCCCTGGACAGCGAGTTCGCTTCACTGTGCGTAACCGTGGCAAAAACAAAGAGTACGACAACAAAACACCCCCAGAGACTCATTGTTTGAGTTGGAAGGCAAAACGAAACATAAATGACAAAAGGGGTTTTGTGATGGCCCTGCCCCCCCCTCAGCAGCCCGACCCGGAGGAGATCCAGAACGCTCGTTTGGACGGTGACCTGAGTGTGGGAGGCTGGCGTGTTGCCATGGCTCACATGGTCTTTCATGACTCCAGGGGGCGAAGACAGTCCAAACTGATGGTGAATGTGGTGTTATGTTCATCAGGGCACCAAAATCGGGTTTATGTAACTTAACTCTAATGAGGTTCTGCTGGGTCAAACCAGCGCTAGTAGTGTAGTGGGTCAAGTGTTGGATGGTCGGCAGGACCCCAAAGCCCCCTCCTTCTCACCTTCAGGGCGTCGGGCTGAGCAAAATAGGCCACGCCCCCGATCCTCATGGTTAGCCAGATGTCAATCATCTGTGCAGCTATGTGGCTGAGAGGCAGATAGCTCACTATCTCCTCCTGGCTGACGGTGCCGTCATTGAGACGCACTGTTTCTGCTGCGATTAGGGCCGTCCAGGTGATCTGTGGAAAGAGCCCCGATGATCAGGCAGTGCACAGGAGCACTGAGGGAACTTCCCCATTTTGTGGTCAAACCGTAACGGCCTTAACTGCAGAAACAGATCAACTCTGATAAAAAAAAAAAAAACAGTAACATTTTTCACGCAGGTGGTTTGTGATTGGTCGAGCAGTGCAAGGTGGGTGGGGCACTCACGTTGTCGTGACTGAGCATCACGCCCTTGGGCTGGCCAGTAGTGCCAGAGGTGTAGATCAAGCTGCAGCATTGGCTGGGCTTCTGACTGGCGATTATCTCATCCAATCGGTTGTCGGGTTCATTACGACCCATCTCCACAAGCTCCGCCCACTAGACAAAGCACAGTCAGAAAGCTTACAAAAGCATGATCAGAGTTTTGAGTTTTTGCAGGGATTTCAAAGCTGGATCAGGATCTTGCTCCACAGGACACCAACATAAAGAGAAATGTAAAAGGAACACACTGTAACTGTGACACAAAGCAGACACGTTCCATTCCATCACACCCAGATAAAAGCAGCAGTAACTCTGATGTAAACAAAAATGAGAAAGAATTAAGAAACACTGACCGTGAATAGATTCGGCCGCTTCTCCTTCAGCGTGTCTCTGTACTGGATTATGGCTTTTAAATGGGGGAGCTTGTCTTGTACCTATAGCAAGCACAGGGTGATGTAACATATCAGAAAAGGCTGAGGAGATGAAACAGAACCGACCACAACCGAAACGCAGGTACATCTATGTGCAACGCCAACACCGTGCAAAAGTCTTGATGATTGATGATGGTTCAATGATCTGAAGATCTGAATGTTGGTATAAAAGTATGCGAGACGTTAGGTCCTAAAGCCCAGAGTATTTTAGCCCCGATCCTTCGAGAAAAGAAAATTTAAGTCCCAGGTAAACTTGACTTAACCCCTGGTCTTTTCAATAGCTAAAAATGCCCCTGTGTGAAATTCAAGTATTTTACCACAGTGTCAGCTTTTAAAATGTGTTTTCTGATCTAAACCCAGAGACATTTACTACCCATATAAACCTTTAAACAATTAATTTGACTGCACAGTGCTGTAGGACTTGGGGCTTCTGTACACCTAACAAACACACTTATCAAAAGTCAGAACACAATAGCTAATGCGGAGGCCCAAACAATCAAGCTTCCTGGATGTATTTGAAAGACTGGAACACTAGTAATTAAACAGGCCATACAAAGGCAACCCAGGAACTGCCATCCTATCAAAACAGGCATCGGCTGGGGTTGCTGGGATACGCCATTGTTTCCCGACTTTCAGCTGGACGTGGGCGGTGTGGAGGTCCGTACCTGCAGGACCTTCTGCAGCTGCTTGTGGTTCTCCACCACGATGATGTTGGCCCTGCAGTTCTCTGCCACGTACTGACAGGCCTCTGGTGAGTTGGTGGTGTAGATGCCCACCGCCAGGCCCCTGGGACACCCAGAAGGTCAGTTAGGCCTCCGGCTGGAGCAAAGGCCGCTCTGCCCTCATTAACATTTATTCTATGCTTCCTGCTAAGCCACTTGCATATTTTAAGAAGCAGGATTTTCAGGATATTCGAGTTACTTTGCCAAAGGTAATTAAAGCACTCCCCCATCCCAGATTAGCAGTCCTTAACCAATACACTACCGGCTGTCCCATGCAGGGAAGTTTCACATGGTCTTTCTGACTCACCCAGCCAAGATGGCAGCAATGTTGGCGATGAACCATTCAGCGGAGTTGAAGCCCAGGATACCCACACCATGCCAACGCTCCAGACCCAGCTGCCAATGACATGTGGTCACGGTCACTCTCACACAAATCACTGTCGCTCTCACACAGTCATGGTCACTCTCACATAATCACTGTCACTCTCACACAGTCACTGTCGCTCTCACACAGTCATGGTCACTCTCACATAATCACTGTCACTCTCACACAGTCACTGTCGCTCTCACACAATCACATGTGCACGGTCACTCACACACAGTCACTGTCGCTCTCACACAGTCACGGTCACTCTCACATAATCACTCTCACACTGTCCCTGTCGCTGTCACACAGTCACGGTCACTCTCACACAATCACTGTCGCTCTCACACAGTCACTGTCGCTCTCATACAGTCACATGTGCACGGTCACTCACACACAGTCACTGTCGCTCTCACACAGTCACGGTCACTCTCACATAATCACTGTCACTCTTATATGGTCACTGTCGCTGTCACACAGTCATGGTCACTCTCACACAGTCACTGTTGCTCTCACACAGTCACATGTGCACGGTCACTCACACACAGTCACTGTCACTCTCACAAAGTCACGATCACTCTCACATAATCACTGTCACTCTCACACAATCACTGTTACTCTCACACAGTCACATGTGCACAGCCACTTTCACGTGGTCACTCTCACATGGTCACGGTCTCTCTCACGTGGTCATCTCCCTCGATTCCCATCACAGAAAATAACCCTGTGCTGGAAATCTAAACATGCCCTCAGTCCCCCTCAAGTCAGCTAGGTGAATACATCCATAGGTGAAACATCACGCAAAATTCTGTGAGGAATGACCCTGGTAACCCATACAGTGAAACTTCTGCCCTGAAACATGCCACTCTAAACACCTGAGGCTGACTGAATGGAGAATTCAGGACACACTGATGATTTCCTTTGCCCACCATCTTGCAGGAACCTCAAAGCAAGGAGGGAATCTTGGGGCTTTCATGGGTTAATATAGTCACTAGCACTATTTAATGTTAATATGTAGCTATGAAATGTTGTTTAGGTAGTCTATAACATCATGGGGCAGTCTGTAACACCTAAGTGACTCTGTAACAGCACACAGACGTCTGTAAAACCTGATTAAGTCTGTAACATTCGAGCGAGTCTGTAATAGCACAGGGCAGTCTGTAATACCTGAGTGAGTCTGTAACAGCACAGGGCAGTCTGTAATACCTGAGTGAGTCTTTAACAGCACAGGGAAGTCTGTAACACTTGTGTAAGTCTGTAGCACTTGAATGAGTCTGTAACAGTACAGGGAAGTCTGTAATACCTGAGTGAGTCTGTAACAGCACAGGGCAGTCTGTAACACTTGTGTAAGTCTGTAACACTTGAGTGAGTCTGTAACAGTACAGGGAAGTCTGTAATACCTGAGTGAGTCTGTAACAGTACAGGGCAGTCTGTAATACCTGAGTGAGTCTGTAACAACACAGGGCAGTCTGTAACACTCAAGTAAGCCTATAACACCTGAGTGAGTCTGTTGAAATACAGGACAGAGTTACTCAGCATGCTCCTTACCTTGAGGAAGCTCTTGGCGATGGTCCTGCACTGCTGGTGGTATTCCCGATAGGACATCTTGCTCCACTGCTCTCCCTCCTTCCAGGCCAGGGCTGCCTGGTCCCCGTAGCGCTGTACGGCGCGGCCGAGGAGCTGCGACACCGTCACGGGCTGCTCAGACGCCAAGCCTGTCGCAGACATCCTCAGCTTGACCTCCCCATCACATTGAGAGGTCCACAGAGACAAGACGGGGGGCACCACAGTGGGCGAGGAGTGTCGTGGAGCCTCAGCTAGGGAAGGAGCGGAAGGACAAATGGGGGGGGGGGTTAATTCATTGGAGAGCTGAGAAGGGAGGAGGAGCCCGACCTTAATGAACGAAGGATACATCTGAAGTGTGGCTCTGCAGTGAGCTGAGGGTTAAACACAGGCGACATTGGGCAACAATCAACCTAAACTGCAGATATACCAGCCAGCCCGGAAAGTCCAGGTCCCAGAATGCAAATGGCGAATGTCAAGATATTTCTAAATGAGACCAATCACTTATAAGATCCTGGGTTTCAACTGGCCAGGTGCAGCTCCCAGCCATGTACTCTTCCGAGCTGGTTGCCAATGGCAGCAGCCTTAGTGATTATGGTCTAGGGCTATTAACACTAGAGATGCGGATTGGAGCTCTGGCTAAAAGGCAACCGGGGAACTGAAAATGCGGCATGGGAGCCGGTGCGCAATCCGAAGGCTGAGGTGGGCACTACCCTCAGGACGTCAGCGACTCACCATAGAGGCATTCCAGAAACAGCGCGTTTAAATTGCGGAGCTGAGACTGGGTCTCGTATGTGATCAGGAATGGGGAGGAGGGACTTATTCAGAGAAAGGGAAATGGCTAGAACACAAAGTGGCTTTTGACTTCCTGCCCGGCACTTCCTGTTAGGCGAGGTCACTGGAGGTGCGTGTTTTCCCATCCCGCTGTGTGTGTGCGTGCGGTCGGTGCCTCTTCTGAGCACGCACTCACTTTTCTGAGACTGGACTTCCGGCGCGCTGTCGAGGGTCACGCTGGGCTCGTCCGGAGTCGTCGCACCCTCATCCCTCTCGCCCACCGAATCGTCTTCCGATGACTCACTGGGGGGAAACGCAGGACAGCGGTGGTGGGGGGTGGGGTCACGGCCCAGCGGACTGTGTGAGGGGTTTTCCCGAGGACACAGAGGCGGGTCATGCCACGCAGAGGAGCGTAGGCGTCCTTCTGCGGGACTTTGGGGCCTACCTGCCGACGGTATCCACGGCAACAATATCCACGGAGGCCTCATCAGTACGGTGTGATATGTGTCCTACGTGCCCGGAAGGGTCCATCACGGCTGTCGCGGACATGGCAGGGAGGTCACAGTCTGTCACTGTCACAGGGTGGGGGAGGAGGGGTTAGAGGGGAAAGGGGGAGGGGCCAAAGCAAGAGAAGGATGTCTTTATAAAATAATACATTAAATAATACTTTTTTTGTCGCCTAATTTCCTTGGTGAACAGGATCTAAAACCTGTCCCCTCCAGCAGGACACAGCCAAGGCACTAATTATCGCAACAGAAAAATGACACTGCCCCCCCCCCCCCACACATTGTAACCATGGACTTCCTGCCAGCTGTGAAGGCCATGGCTGCATTATCCCAGGAGTCGGCCCCAGACGATGTTCTGATTAGTCTGACGAAAGTGATGAGAGACAGACGCACTGTGCTGCTTAAACCTGCGAGTCCACGTTCGCTTCAGCACTCGCCTCTGGGGTTATTCAAAACCATCAACCGTATTTATTTGCCTTTACGTATATAAACTGCCAAATTAAAAGGTGCTTAATCAGGCTTATGACCTTAACAGGCAGTGCCTGGGGACAGTGTCACGTCATCCATTGAGGCAATGAGCTCCCCTTGTCAATGAGATGCAGGACCATTACCCTCTCTTCCGTCTAAATGTTTGGAGACCCCTGAATATTCCATTGGATGAACCACATAAATGATGTGGAAAAGGAGAATTAGAAGGCAAACACAGCCATTCACAGCGACCGCAGTGTAGGTAAAACATGAAAATGCTGTTGGAGAAATGGGTGGTTCCTCAAACAGACACCTTTTAACGTTCCTAAGGTTCACCGCTGAGATTACATTGGCAGCTGTTAGACACACACACACACACACACACACACTGCTCTCCTCCCATTCCACTACCCCTTATAACATCTGGAAAAAACATTTCCCTAAAATCTCATTGACAGGCAGGCTGCACATCTGGGTCAGGCACTATGCTTTCAGAAAAGAGAAAATCAGGCACGAAAAAAATGCAAAGTCAAAGCTCAAAATTAAAGCAGTAATAGTTACTCACTTCCTAAGATCACTTTCTATGTAAGCCATTGTACACGGTACATATAAGACATATAGGTTATACTTAATAAATATTATTACATAAACGTCCCCCCCCCCCGCATAGACACTTACGACGCATTCTTAAGATCAGCGGTCATAAGTCTGCTCGAAACCTTTCCAGCGGTTCTGACTGGTGGTCGATTTCCGATCCTGAGTCCCGATCAGCACACCGGTTCTCCTAGGCGTATGTATCACGCCACCCTTGTAAATAGTACCACGCCCACTCTGTAGGCGTGTGCGTGACCACGCCCCCTACCGCCGCACCCCTGTCCGGCCCATATGCGTATATATGACACTGCGTTATCCTGCCGTCATTGGCCAGATGTCATCGTCACACCACAGCTCCACGCGCTTGGCTGTGGGAGGGGCTCCGGCCGACAGCGGAGTGCCTGAGGGCAGCGGGGTTACTGTAGGGCACTTTCGGCGATGCCTGGGGGGCGGAGGCGCCGATACAGCCGTGCACATACAGCCACCATCAGTTTCCTGTCGACCCTATACATGGTGTCCCTGAGCTTCAGACGGAACGGCCCACCTTGTCAGTTACGGCTGAATTTCAGAGCCAAACACTCTGCCAGTCCCGCCCTTGAATGCTTTCATTATAGCTGGATATCTATGCCACACCAGTTTTTTTTTTTTTTTTTAAATACCTTCTAAACTTCTTATGATGCGCAACACACTGAAGTAAATAGCTCAAATTAATTTCTGAAAAACGAGGCCTTATTGAATCATTTACACATCAGGTAGGCTATTCACGTAATTCTTTCTTGGGTAAAACTGTTATAAGACACAAAGGGTCATTTTGGATGGACCAACTCCACCAATAGAGCGGAATATTCGGATGGATCACAGGCTTAATGAAGGTTGGGCGGGTTAGTCCATTTGCAGGTCTAAAGCGACAATGAAACGCAAGTTTCTCTTCAGACGTGACCGAGAGCAGATCCCCATTAGCATGTTTGTCCACAGATACGGAAGCAAGAGTCAGTTTAGCCGCGAAACACGCCTTAAATCCCCCCTCTTAACTACCGAAATGCCACTGCGTGGAAAAATATAAAACCAATAAACCCGACGCACCGTTGTCCACATAAGATATTCAATTAACGGAACCATCACACGTATAGTTCCACGATCAAGTGCGAGCTTTCGGTGTGAGACCGTAGTGCTCTGGGATCACTTTTTCAGTGCGCTCAGCGTGTAACGTGCAGATCGGATGTTTTTGTGTGCTTTTGTATGCAGGTATGTGAGCATGTGTAATGTTACTTGGATTAAGGTGACGGCGGGACAGGTTGGTGCTCTATGTACAAACCAGAGCTGCGATTAAAAACCGCCGCTGCACTAAGGGGTCACCCACGAAAACGCCCACCTGGAAAATATCACGATAATGCCAGATGGCCAGTTGAGTCCAGGCCTAGATGGATGAATGGGGGTCGTTACATTTCTTTTCTTTCACTGACCCCATTAACGCAGTACCCTGAAGTAAACATTAATATCCAAAAAGCTAAAAAAAATGCATTCCAGACAAAACTGGATTTTATGTTTTGGTCTACACAAGACTCCTGTGGGATTCAATAGAATTATAAAGAACATACAATGAATAGAGGAAAAGGAGAATATAGTTTAAAGCAGGGAATGGTGAAAGGGGGGGGGGGGTTCATTCTAAAAAATGCAGTAAACTGAAACGAGAACTGACTAGCGCCGGCAGGGCAAGGTTACCTAATCGGGACCGATAGAGGCAGCAGACAGAAAAACGTCAGCGGCCCTTACGTATCTGTAGCCTTCCACAAGGACAAGTACTAACCGACTAACTAGAGCAAGTGTCAAACATGTGATTGTCATGTAGACGGAAGGTACCGAGAGAGGGGGGGGAGATGCCCAAAGGGCTTTAAAAGGGATACAGCTGATACATATGGCAGAGCCCCCGTATGTCACACGGCCGCTCCCGGATTGCAATCTGTCAGAGAATAAACCGGTGACCTGCAACTTCTCCTCGTGTCAGCTGTGAATCTCTTCTCATCCACGGACCCGGTGGAGACGGCATACTCCAACACTTCCAGTCATGAATTAAAAGCTTTTTTTAAAAAAAATAATAATAATAATAACTATTCTTAGGCTGGATGGTAGCTAAGTATTTTGGGATTTTGTTGTAGAAATGCCATTCTGACAAATATTCTGAAGCGACATGCTTTTTTTTCACAGTTCTTTTGTCATAAACTGAGACCCCCGTCACTGCAGTCGACCAATCGTCACAGATATTTATAAAACACATAAATGCAGACCTCATATGAACCAACTGTAAGTGAAATTAAAACGCGATAGTGCTCGATCGCCAATGATATTGGAGAGCAGTTGAAATGTGAAAGGGACTGATTAACGAAAACCTTTAATAACTTACTAGGCATCTAACTCCCAAGGTAATGTTAAAACTGACTTAACCAGTTCGGTAACAATTTATTCGTATAATGCATGCCAAACAGAGCAAATTCCAGCGCCATGACCTTTATGAATGCGCCAGGATTACTGATTTAAACGTTCATGGTCTATCCATGTACAAAAGTTTTAGTTTAGTAAAGACTAATCAGTATCTCGTCCTGAGCTGAGGTCACAGCCCCGTGGACTCATGACTGGGTCGTTTCCCTTAAAAACTACCATCAGAATGACACAAATCACACTGCGGTCAAAGAATTTCACTAACAATCTGCTAATCTAGTTAAACATATTCAAGTTTTCATTTAGCTTATAGGGGGGAATCACCATACAGAAATTGTGTAAGTAGCAATTAAGGAGCACAAAGCTAACCAGAGTGTGTGACAGTCGTATTTATCGTTTAAGCTAAACTTAACCATCCTGTTTTATCTGTTCCGCCAGCATTTTAATTTGCATGCTTGAAAAGTAGCGTGTACATTTTTTCTTTTTGTACAGCCTGCTTTTACGTATAATACGACCATATATTATTCAACAGCAAGTAATAACAAAACCATCTTTTAATAACATGCAACTTACTGAAACTCTACTTTTTATGTTCAATGAGTCATCACCCATTTTTCACTTCAGCGAGTTGCCTCTGGGGAAATTTCCTGTAGTATTCGGCGCTCAGAAACGAACCACTTCTAGTGCAAGCTGTTTATGTGTAACCTATTATACCAAAGAGCGTGAAGGCACCGACACATCAAACGCTGGCTTTCTGGGTTATTTCCAGTCCCCCTTTACAGGTGTTTTATGGCGCACGATGCGCAAAAAGCGGATGGCTGGTTATTGTAAAGAACTAGGTTTAACTACAAATAATTCTCCAAACCCGGAGGCGCTTCGAACGCCACAGCCGTCGAACTATATAGCATGACGATGATTCATGAGTTGCCGGCTAGTAAATACAATTAAGTATAGCGGAAAATATAATAAGCATTGGGTTATTAGTAACCACTGCAAGTTTCAAGTGCGAAAAACATTATGAAACGTAAACCAACGAATACATTGGTATTTCATTTTTAAATAATCGCCCCCGTATTTTGATTAGACACATAATATCTTACTAACGCAACATTTCAGTAAACAATAAGATATTAGAAAATATTTAAATTATTCGCATTCCATTTTTTTAATGACAGACTGAACACACAAGATAATTTTGGGTAAAATGGCATATTTATCTTACCTAATGCTGTAAAGTAATGCGATGCTTACTGAATAAATCCGGGAGAAAACTATTGGCGCAATATTGAACGTTATTCCGTCCCTATGGCGCGACTCCGCGATGCTCACGTGTTAATTGCTTGATCTTCCTTGTGTCGTAACTGCGGAAGCGGGTCAGTAGCGCCGCAATGTGTTGATTTCCGTGGGCCTGCTGGAAACTAAAAAAAAATATTTCGTCGATAACTTAAAATTAACGTTCTGTACAGTAAGGACCCGGTGGTATTCTTGAGCATATTTTTCGTGATCGAGTCCAGCGTACCTGATGCGTTGCTCCTGGCAATTGCTCCTTCCTGCTCCTGTTGCTCCTGGCAATTGCTAATAGTTTTTTTTTTGCACGAATTATATTTCACTTTACATACTTTTTCTGCATTGCTGGAATAAATCTTTTTTTCAGTAAACAGAACAGCCTAGATCCGCCGAAAGGATTTCTCTGTATGGTTTTGTAAATGAACGTTGCTTTCAGTTGCTGTCATAAAGCAAACATTAAAGCTGAATTTACAACGCATACAAATTAAACAAAGAGAATTGATTTGATTTGTTTGCTTTGTGACGATGGTGTTTTTTATTCCACTTAATTCAATAAATGGCAATTGTAACTTTCTTTATGACATATTTAGTGTTTAGATGCACATCGTTAAGTCAGTTAAACCTGACCATATGGCCAGTTATGTGGTTCAGTATTGGTCCAACCATGTGAGCTTTGGTATATCCTGACCAGACCGATATTGAAAACATGGCGCCATCTCCTGGGTGGCGATTGAATTACACATTCAGTTTTCCATTAGCGCTTCAGCAGAGAATAATGGTTCTCAGTGTTGCAAGTTTTCAGTAAAATGTCTTGTTAATAAAGTGCAAAACTCCAAGCTGTGCAAGTTACTTTTGATAAAAGTGACAGGCAAGTATACATGAAAATTAATTCAGGTCAACTTGAATAATCTTACATCAATTATAGGGTCAAAACATAAATTCCCTACCTTTGAAGTAAAATAGAAACAATTTACCATAAATTAATGTCAAATGTAAGCGTATTAAAATAGAATATAAAACATTTGAAGATCTGTTATTGGTAAGCATATGTCCAGTTATGGCCACAGTAATCTAGTTACAAGATTGCAGTCGATTTCAGGGAACTGACACATATTTGCATCCAATCACATAATAAAGGGACCCTAGATTCACCGGTTCACCCAAAACGACATGGTTTAGAAAACACAGGTGAGGCTAAATTCAAACCTGAGTCTACCAGTTTAGGGAATTATTGCTCAGTAGTAACATGACGGATCATGCCAGCAGTGTCCGCATGGTTCACAGCAACATTTCTACGGTGAAAATACAGTGTGCTATATACTGTTTGAAACTTTATATAGCTGTTCCAGGTGGCGTGATAGAGCCGTGGCCGGTTAGCTCAGTTGGTTAGAGCGTGGTGCTAATAACGCCAAGGTCGCGGGTTCGATCCCCGTACGGGCCATGAAGTTTTGTTTCGCTCTCACCGGTATATGTTTGAGAGCAAGATTATTTACGCGGAGGCAAACTTTCCGAAATACCTGTACTCATACTTCGACAAATGGCAAATTAAGCGTCATTTGATTTTCCCTTCCTGTGATAACACACTCCTCCCATCAGAGTTCTGCTATAGAATATCCCGACTTCAAGACAAGAAGAACAGATCCATGCCCCATAGACTTTATTGATTTAAGCGTAGTGCGGTAGCCTATATTGTTGCATAATAATGAAAGGGACTGCTCATTAAAATACAGAAAGCAGTTCTTCTATTTTACTTAGTTGTACTTTGTCAGAAAAAAGGACACTGAAATACTTACATGGCAATAGGGTTTTCCGAAATGAACCATCCAACTTGAACTATTAACGCCTCACGCGTGATTAAGCGGAATCACCTAAACGACCTTCTACCCGACCGTAGCCCCGAACGGAACTGGGTTTGGATGAGCTTGCTAGCAGAAATGGTGCACGGAGAGCGGAAACGCTAATTTGGTGGTAAGGACAAGCGTTAGTAAGCTCTAGTTGACTGTTTTAGATGAGACTCGGCGTTATACCTGTGGAGAAAAAGTAGTTAAGCGGAACATATCCAATAAAAATCTAGTTATATCACGCAGTAACGTTATGTTGATAAAAGAGTAATAATGCTATTACCCCTGATTTTTTTAGTTCAGTAGTCCCTCACCGTGGAGTTAACCTTAATAATATTAATATGTCATTATTATCCATTTTGCATTAAATGTATTTAGATTTACCCGTTGCACATTATATTCAATTCCTATGCTACATTTTTCACTAATTATAATTGCTGTATTTCTTCGCCATCCCGCGTCACGCAGTATATATATATATATATATATATATATATATATATATATATATATATATATATATACACACACACACACACACACACACACACACACACACACGATCCAGATGAAAAACGCTAGAAAATTAGTCAAATAAAATACAAAACATACATTTCGTTTTATTAAATTGCACTGCCACTTAAGTAAAAAATGACACAACTGGACACTTCACATCTCTAAAATTACCATAAGATAATATTTTAATTTGGAAAAACACTTCTTCCTTCACTGCTTTAAAGGCTAAATGAGTGCATATCACTTGGATACCCTATTTTGCATTATCTCCCGCTTCGGAGACCGCGCTAGCGAGGTCCCCGCCTTGGCGGGAGTCTTCAAGCAGGCAGCGCGGGAGTTAAAGGGGGCGGTGCGGGGCGGTGCGGGGCGGGGCCTGCCTCTTCTTTGGTGACGTATCCTGTAAAGGCTAGCAACAGTTGCCTTGAGACCCTCGCTCGCCATAGTGACTGTAGTCGTGGAGACAGTTACTTCCCAACCGGAGCAACAGGCAGCAACAGTAGCGGTGAGACAGGACAGAAAGGCGAACAGACCACAACTAAACACAAGGCAAAGGTGAATATATTTTAATTTTGTACGGCTTTTTCTTACTCACACACTGTGAGGATGGGATGTGTTTTTTTTCCATTTCTCTCACACTCAAATTCTCCTCTGTCCGTTAAATTAAAAATGGAGGTAAATCAAGTTAGTTACACAAGGTGAGTGCAGCGAGCCAGGTGTTGCGTGCACATTTCCTTCTGTTTCAGGTCAGTGTTTTCCAGTAATTGTCATTTGGCAAGCAAAGTTAACGTGCAACTCGCTCAAGGCTGCACCGCCTTGTCTTATTGCATCGTGGATGCGGGAACATATAGATAGCACGCAATTTATACACTCTAAAAATCACAAAGTTTATTCAACTTCTTGTTGTTAACTTGTAAACGGCAGCTTTAGGCATCCCCCGATAACGCCCGTTCCGCAGACTCGTTGAAAGGGGGGAATCCATCCACGCTAAGCTAATCCATGCTAAAGTTACAACTCAAACTAGTGCCTTTTAACTACCAACCTGCCTTATCATTTTACTAATACGAGTATTAAATGGATTATCTGCAAAGTGCGACGATGCTGTATAAGTTGCCTTCTGTCGGTTTATTGGCTGTAACGTGAAACCCGAAAGGTCATTTTCCGTGTGATTGATCGCTTAATTTGGATCAGCTGCTTTTGTGCCTTAATTGTACCGGTTCTACCTGCCCGGCCCACCGGCGGGCGCTGTCCCCAAGCGCGCCCATTAAAACTTCACTTCGCGGCGCTGTGAGGCTAGTGATCGCCGTCCGCACGGAGATGTTCCGCCGGATCCTGTACTTCGCTGCGGCGTTTTGGAAATAGCAGCCATGCTCGGCGTTGCTTTCTCTCTCTCTTTTTTTTTTTTGTTTTTGCGGTATGTCTGTCCGCTCGCTGGATGACCTGGTGCCTGCATTCATTGCGACGCCAAACAACACAAAGTTAAAAAAAAATCAATGTACTTAATAAATTATCAGCACTAGAAGCTGATCAGCCTAAAACGTACTGTGCATTTCTTGTTATGCTGACAGATTTTAGAAGAGCGGCTCGCTTTTATTGCCACGCCGCCAGGCTGGTGGGAAGTTTGATACAGATCTGCTGCATGACCATAGATTGGGGGAGACGTGGGAAAACGAAGCTACAGTAAGACGGTGGGAAGCCTGCAGTGATTATGACGTTTATCCCACGAAACTAAAAGGAAAAATGTGTAAAGTGTAATTATTTTAAGCTTAATGTTATATTTGAATGCAACATTTTTGTTAGTAGGGTTGACTCCTACGACAAAGACCTAATAAAATCGATACATTTATGCAATGTTTTGTACCATTTATCGTGTATTTTCTTAACATGTATGGTTTAGTGTTTCTATCGGCTCACACGCCTTTTTTTTTTTTTTTTTAGACGAATGTTTACATTATATTTAACGCTTTAAGCACTGGTTTGGTCGCGATGGGTTTGACGAAGTTATTTTTAGTTATCGGAATACTTGGCGTGCCCCTAACTCGGAGTATCTGTGCAGTGCTGTCGGATAACGGCCCGTGTTTTGCACTTAAGTGCATTTCTCTGTTTACGAGCCGCATCCTTCCTTCCTTCTTTTTCTTGCCCATCAACTCGACACGTGCTGATCCCCCAAATCGGAGACGCACCTCGCTGGTGAGACTCGCCTGGTTTACTTTTAAAACGTCCCTTTTAAATAATATCCGCGGTGCTTTCGAGCAGCCGCCGTGTGAACGTGTGGTGCTGCTGGATCTGACTTGGCTGGATGGCTGCCTCTCTTCCGCCGTTATGCGGCCATCCAGCTTTTGAGGGGCAGCTGTAGAGGATCCGGGTTAATTGATAAGAAAACAAGTGGTCAGAGGACCCCCCCCCCCAACACAGCTGCAAGACACACCTGTTAGCCAGAGGTCAGAGTGTGGGGGCAGCTAATGAGCCCTCTGAGACAATGGGGTGTCCTTCAGGTGTCCTTGATAATGTCCCTTCTGTTCCCAGCAGCGTCTTGCTGAGAATGAGAATGAGTAGTACCAGCTTTGGGCGCCACTTGGCGATCTTTCTCTCTTTCTGCTGCATCTTGACCAGTCATTTGACTAATACCCCCCCCAAATAAATAAACACTTGGCATTGATTTCGTTGCTTGTAATTGTCATGTTTGTTTTACACCGCGTTCTCTCTTAATTCTAGTTTAATTAGCTCCGTGTTGAAGACTTTGAGGCTCTCGCTTATAAACGTAGTTCAGGAGGCGCCTGTTATTAAAAGGGGGAATGAAAACCGTTGAGCTCGACTATTTCGGCGCTCTTTTAATTAAGAACGAAGTATCTCGTTACTCG